GTCACCCGGCGTCACCCGCTGTCACCCAGCACCACCCGCTGTCACCCAGCATCACCCGCTGTCACCCGGCGTCACCCGGTGTCACCCAGCACCACCCGGTGTCACCCGGCGTCACCCGGTGTCACCCAGCGTCACCTGGTGTCACCCAGCGTCACCTGGTGTCACCCGGTGTCACCCGCTGTCACCCAGCACCACCCGGTGTCACCCAGCACCACCCAGTGTCACCCGGCGTCACCCGCTGTCACCCAGCACCACCCGCTGTCACCCAGCATCACCCGCTGTCACCCAGCGTCACCCGCTGTCACCCAGCACCACCCGCTGTCACCCGGCGTCACCCGCTGTCACCCGGCGTCACCCAGCACCACCCGCTGTCACCCGGCATCACCCGGTGTCACCCAGCACCACCCGCTGTCACCCGGCGTCACCCGCTGTCACCCAGCACCACCCGGTGTCACCCAGCATCACCCGCTGTCACGCAGCATCACCCGGTGTCACCCAGTGTCACCCGGTGTCATCCGGCATCACCCGGTGTCACCCAGCACCACCCGCTGTCACGCAGCCTCACTCGGTGTCACCCGGTAGCACCCAGTGTCACCCGATATCACCCAGAGTCAGCCAGTGTCACCTGGTGTCACACAGCGTCACCCGGTCCATCCCAGTCACCCGGTGTCACCCAGCATCACCCGCTGTCACCCGGCATCACCCGGTGTCACCCAGCACCACCCGGTGTCATCCGGCATCACCCGGTGTCACCCAGCACCACCCGCTGTCACGCAGCATCACCCGGTGTCACCCAGTGTCACCCGGTGTCATCCGGCATCACCCAGTGTCACCCAGCATCACCCGCTGTCACCCGGCGTCACCCGCTGTCACCCAGCATCACCCGCTGTCACCCAGCACCACCCGGTGTCACGCAGCATCACCCGCTGTCACCCAACGTCACCCAGTCTCACCCTGGCATCACCCAGGATCACCCAGTGTCACCCAGCCTCACTCGGTGTCACCTGGTAGCACCCAGTGTCACCCGGTGTCATCCGGTGTTATCCGGCATCACCCGCTGTCACCCAGCACGACCCGCTGTCACGCAGCATCACCCGGTGTCACCCAGTGTCACCCGGTGTCATCCGGCATCACCCGGTGTCACCCAGCATCACCCGCTGTCACGCAGCATCACCCGGTGTCACCCAGTGTCACGCAGCCTCACTCGGTGCACTCACTGGGTAGCACCCAGTGTCACCCGATATCACCCAGAGTCAGCCAGTGTCACCTGGTGTCACACAGCGTCACCCGGTCCATCCCAGTCAACCGGTGTCACCCAGCAGCACCCAGTGTCACCCAGAGTCACTCGGCATCACCCGACGTCACCTGGTGTCACCCGCACATCCCGGAGCATCCCAGGGCATTCCGGAGGATCCCAGCACCTCCTTGTGTATCCCAGTCCCTCCCAGTCCGTACCAGTTACCGCTGCCCGCTCCAGCAGCAGGATGCTCAGGCCATACCAGTCCATCCCAGTCCCTCCCAGTGTGTCCCAGTCCATCCCAGTCCATCCCAGTCCATACCAGTTGTGGGCAGCCGCTCCAGCAGCAGGGCACTCAGGCTGTCCCAGGCCATCCCAGTCCCTCCCAGTCCGCACCAGTTGCGGGCAGCCGCTCCAGCAGCAGGGCGCTCAGGCTGTCCCAGTCCCTCCCAGTCCCTCCCAGGCCGTACCAGTTGCGGGCAGCCACTCCAGCAGCAGGACGCTCAGGCTGTTCCAGTCCATCCCAGTCCCTCCCAGTCCCTCCCAGTCCATACCAGTTGCGGGCGGCCGCTCCAGCA